AACTACGCCTGCCATCGGTCTGCCGTGAAGTCTTCATGGGAAGGTCGTGTCTCACCCGGGGTGTAGGGAGGAGTGATGCAGCGCCTACGAAGAATATATGGGACGTGCTGGACTCGAACCGGGTACCATTGGGTCCGGGGAGAGGGCGCTACCGTTACAGTGTGAGTACAGTCTTCTCTGGGGAGGCCTTGTCTCGCTGCCCTCGTCCAGGAAGTACGCATATGCACCGTCGAGGATCGAACCCTCGACCTCCCGGTTATTAGTAATTGGTGTTACCATTAGGCTATCATAGTCTCGGAATACCGGTGTCCGCCCGCGGGGACGCCCGGGGTTGGAGCACATCACCATCTCATGGTGATGCGACGGAGACGCCGTCTCCGCATACAACTTTATCCAGAAAATAAAGGGGGAGAAGTTTTTAAGGTGAAACAAAATAATAAATCACTCTTTTTGGCTTGTAACACATAACATGAAGCACCATCCTGTAAGCCACCGAACTGAGTGGGCCCCTATCGTGTATAGTATTCGACCTCAATTTTGTGAATTGAAATATAAGATTGTCGATACTCTTGTCTTTGAACAAATTGTAATGCGTACAGTCTTCGGCGTAATCACCTACTGCCACTTGGTAGCCCTCTTCTGCAAGACGGTTGAGTATGGTGGTCTTACCAAGACAAGCAGTGCCATCCAAGATGATAACCGATTCAAACTTGATAACTTCTGGCATGTGAACGGGACAAAAGTGTGATCCAATACTTATTAACGTGGAGACTGCATGTTTCCTTCCAATCTTCCAAGTCAAAATGCTACCTTCGTTAGTCCCATTGCACTCCTTCCTGAATAAAGGCATCCAGGTGTCGAAATGATCGTCCCCGATCGTTGGCGGTGTTGGAGGCGAGCTTCGTAGGCGACTCGACGCGGTTTGGCGCGTTCGAACGAGTCGGTGAGGGCGGGCATGTGCTCGCGGACTCGCCTCACGGGTTCCCAAGTCGGGACTACGCAGCCCTCCCAGTGCACTAGGTACCTGGGGACTGTGGCGGCCGGGACTGCGTCTCCTGCGCTCTTCCTTGAGTGTGTGGGGTGGTTCCGGGG